AGGAATATCCCCGTTGCGATGATCCATGTGCTCCGCGGGCCGCCGCTGGCGACGGATCCGCGGGTGGTGTCAGCGTTGGGGGCGCTCATGGCGGCGCTGAGGGAGAAAGGGCGCGCCGGCGACGCGGTTAGGGTGTGGAGAGAGATGGTGGTGACGCTGCCAAAGTTTAGGATCCATGAAGGGCTGCGGGCGGTGGCGGCTGAGGCGTTTTTGGATTTGGGGGACTTGGAGGAGGCGAAGAGGGTGCTGACGGAGGGGGCGGGAAGTGGGAGGGTAAGTGGGCCGAGAAGGTTGGCGATGGAGCGGGCGAGGGTGAGGATGGAGAAGCTGGAAGCTGTGGGGTCTGAGTAAGAATTGGCATATGTTAGATAAGGGAGTATATCCGCCGTTTGCCGATGTAATTTGTTGTCGGTTGTTGAGCTTATCCTGATCAGTCTGATTGAGATCTAGCAATACAGCGCTGGCGTTTATCAGCCTCAAACGGTTTATTTTCCGCTTTGTTCTGTCTGTAAAGTCAAGCTTATCAAGTGGCTTTTTATGAGTCGTTTGACGCCTAAACGAGGCCCACACCTAAAGGGATCTGGGTGGCGGGAATAAATAGGATTAGGCGTTAAATCTCCAAAGCTACGGCACGCAAAATGAGCATACGCGTTCTCTAAATGCAAAGAATCGATACGCGCTGGGAGTATTTTCAGCGACGAAAGAACGTTAGCGAGTTTGTGGACGCCGTCACCTGCGCTCAGCAGTCCCTCGTGATCTTGTGCAGCGCAACAATTTTTTTCAAATTTCATCCCCGACGAGACAGCGGACGACACTGTTCACACCCTCACCTTCGACGCTGCTCGGCCGACGCAGTGTGTAGTCTCGGTCGCCCTCGTCCATCCGGAACCACCTCTCGTTACGGACTTTGCCACCGCCATCGATCACACCTCCTCGGTTAAGCAGACCAAAGATGTTGGTGGAGGATTCTGGGGCCTCCGCTCCCCCATCTGCGCCACCACCGCAACCCACCGAGCCTCCCTCCGCCTTACCCTCCTCAGGCATCGCAGAACCGCCTCCCGCCACATCGAAATCAGTCCTCGGATTCCTCCAACGCCGCGCCCACGCCGCCGCGAAAGCAGTCACCACCGTCGCCTCCCGGGCATCCTCCATCGCCTCGCTCTCGTTCCATACCTCGTCCACCGACATCCCGTCCGCCCAGCCACGCCGCGCTCCCGCTCCCCCACCCCTCGTCGCTTCGCCCACAGTTGTACCTGCTACTTGGAGCCCAGTCTCCGAGGACGATGATCACGGGAAGGGGTCGTTGATGGGGTCGAGAACGTTCTCGGCGCTGTCGTCGACGTTTTCGTTGTTTACCGGAGGCGGAGGCGGCGGTAGTGGGACGAAAGTCTGGGTGGAAGAGACCGAGAATGTCAGTACAAAGGATGATGACGTGGTGCCAGAGCTGGTGGAGGTGCGGCTCGTGGGGCGGGACGAAGAAACGAAGAAGGTTCTGACGCCCGACATGGTGCGCCAGGTAAGCCTTCTGCTTGGATCTCCCGTAGAAAAACCATGTGCTGACTTCTTTACCTGTACAGCTCCAACCCTTCCTCCCTCCTCTGCAGCGGGAATCGCCGACCTGGACGCTCCTCTACAGCATGGACCAACACGGCCTCTCCCTATCCACGCTCCTCCGCCGCGTGACCGTCGAGTCCGACCGCCCATGCATGCTCTGCCTCCGCGACGAAGACGGCGTCACCCTCGGTGCGTTCCTCAGCGAGCCACCCGCGCGCCACGCCGAGGGCCGCTTCTTTGGAAACGGCAGCTGCTTCCTGTGGACCAACGCTGGCGGAGACTCTGTCTACGTGTACCCAGCCACGGGAGAGAACGAGTTTTACATGACGATGATGGTGCAGCCGATGGCGTTCGCGATGGGGGCGGGCGGGGAGGCAGGGGGGTTTGGGCTGCTGGTGGACGATGCGTTCGAGAGCTGCCAGTCGGCGCCGTGCGCGACGTTTGGGAATCCAAGGCTGTCGGCGAGACCGAGGTTCATGGCGGTCGGGGTCGAGGTGTGGGGGTTCGAGTTTTAGGTGGTTTGGGTGGACCGTTATTCCCGCCGCAGACGCTGAGACCGGTCATGACTCGATACTCTTCGGCATCGCGATTCTTCCGATTCTTCGTGGTGTCGGGTTGGCTGATGTCGGTAGGCTCGGATTTTATTGATCAACAACCCCTCGGCTTTTTACGCGACGTTTGGGAATCCACGGCTATCGGGAAGTTCAAGATCACGATTATCGGAGTTAACGTTAGCGGGACGCTTTGAACCGGCTATAACCGGAGGTTGGTGCTGAGGGCACCGCATTCCAGTCGGCTTTCTGGGAGGTCGAGGTTTATAGGCGGAGCTCGGCGTGTTTGAATGCAAGGGTGTGCGGGGACAGGTGTTTGTTGTAAAGAACGGTTTCAACGTTTGGACGTGCATGTGAGCGAGCGTCTTTGTACATACTGTAATAATCCATCTATCATCACTTTCCGAAACCTTGCCTTCACACTGATATGAACAAATCAATTATGGTATCAAACGGCTTTGTTTATTATGCAGGTATCATTTACAGCAGGCGGGGGTGTATGGGTATTTTACGAAAGAACGATGCGGTTAGGTCTTGGTGGTTGTGCGTGGTTCACGTGTGTAGCAGGCATAGCGTGTGTGAAGGTTTCGCTTTACATGAACTTGTTGCCGATGGTAGCGCCAGTGGGGATCGTGGGCGGGACCTTGTTCTTCACCGCGACGGCTTTCTTGCTGGCCGCGCCGATGGCAGCGGCGGAGGTGGTGGCGGGCGAGTTGGCAGCGAAGGCGGGCATATTTTTTCAAAGGGTGTTGTTTGTTAGAGGTGTGGGTGACGCTTTTTGGGCTTTGAAGGTTGGAGTTGGTTGCTTTGGATGGGGGACGATGCAGGCGACGCGGGATGTTTTTATACTCGGAGCTCGCCCATAGAGACTCATAGCCCCCAACCCTAACCCTCTGGTCCATCGCCCGGAGCCGCACGTCAACACTTTCATCCATCGCCAAGTTCCATCTCCATTGATTCTCCAACCTTCGCGTTCTCAGCAAAGTGTACCACGTTGTGGCTGCTCGAGCCCGGCCGCATGGTTTGGCCCACGGGTTTATTTTTTCCCGCCCAGAAAAAAAGGTTGCTGCGCCCCAAAATGTTCAGCCACTAACCCTAACCCTCCCCTCAGTCCCCTGGGCCACAGAGTCCACGATCGCAAACGAATTCGAATTCGTTCCATGTCATTCTCTGTCAGGGCTGCTCAGCTCAAACCTGCCGTGAACGGCTGCGTCCAAAACCCTCGTCGCATATGGGATTCTGTCTGCGCTTCTTCCTCAATCTAAAAGTGATTTGAAATTGTGCAACGGGTTTAAAAGCAAATTATTGCTCAGAGGCATCACCATGCAATCCCTCCGACGAATCCGTCCCAGCGCGTTCGCACCACCTCTCGCACGCCACATGAGCGAAGCTCCTCGCCCGCCCGTCCCGCCCTTCACCGCCGAGACCGCCGCCCAAAAAGTGCGAGCCGCCGAAGACGCCTGGAACACCCGCGATCCCGCCAAAGTCAAAATGGCCTACACCCCCGACAGCGTCTGGCGCAACCGCTCCGAGTTTCTATCCGGCCGCGACGAGATCCACGCCTTTCTTGCCCGCAAGTGGGAAACCGAGAAGGAGTACCGGCTCATCAAGGAGCTGTTTGCGTTCGAGGGCAACCGGATTGCGGTGCGGTTTGCGTACGAGTGGCGGAGGGAGGAGACGGGGCAGTGGTTCAGGGCTTATGGGAATGAGAATTGGGTGTTTGATGAGAAGGGGTTCATGGCGAGACGGTATGCGAGCATCAATGATGTCCCGATCGATGCGGCGGAGAGAAAGTTTCATTGGAAGCAGGGACGTCGACCTGACGACCATCCGGGATTGAGCGAGCTGGGACTGTAGCTGTTGTGCTCCTTGCAAAAGCGATGCGCTACCTGCAATAAAAAGCGACAAGAAAATGAGTTGGTTATTCAGCAGAGCGCTGCAGGGTTCAGTGAGGTCGTGCATCACGATGCTTCTGTCCAAGTGATGTTGCTGAGGGCGAGCGCTAGCAGCTCCGCACTTTGCACCGGGGTGAATAGAACGAAAGACAGTGAAAACACGCCTCCGCGCAACCGATGGGCCATTGCACCCGTCGCTCACCCAATCCCTGCCGTTCCGGCTGCGAGCGTTTGCGTAAAGGATTCTTCGGATGCGAGATCTTTCTCTGGTGAAAGATGGGATGAAAATATTTTCATCCGCCTCTGATCCTGGTGAACGCTGTGCCCAAGCACCGGGACCATCCGGCACAGCGAGGACATGCCGGAGCTCGACGGCGGTGGGGACCTTCTCATCTCACTCTGCTCATACACTGGCAGCTGCGGCTCAACCTGGACTTTCTTAATCTCCGGCCACCGAAACTTCGCACACCGCAAGCTGAGCAACCCACGTGAGACGCTTTCCAGGCCTCCAGGACCAGCATGCGGCTGCATGGATGGGACCAGATGAATGGAATGACGGCATCCTCAGCGGTTGGTCGTGGCAGGCCTCATCGGCTCCTTTTTGCTTTCTTCCGGTTTCCATCCCCTGCTGTTGGGGAAGCGGATAAATCTCTTGAGCACTGAAGCTGACCAATCCATGTGGCTAGAGATACTCCTGAGCAACGGAGGGTATCAGCGGCCATGTGGGACCATAAGCGATGCAAGCGGATGCAGGAATGTGGACCAAGGGATCCGGCAAGACGTCTCGGCTGGTGATGCGGAAAAATTGGTGAGCTGAAAAACGAGATGGAATCGTCACTCAAGCATTAGGTATATAATAATAAAGTTTCCACGTTCGAAAACAAGTAAATACCTACAAGCTTCCGTGGCGCAATTGGCTAGCGCGTAACGCTGTTAACGTTAAGGTTGGTGGTTCGAGCCCACCCGGGAGCGATTCGGATAATAAGTTTATCCGAACGTTGGTTCCATGGTGTAGCGGCAGCACTCAAGATTCTGATTCTTGCAACCCGAGTTCGATTCTCGGTGGGACCTTTTCATTGCTTCCGTGGCGCAATTGGCTAGCGCGTAACGCTGTTATCCGATCTCTGGTCGGCTGTTCACGTTAAGGTTGGTGGTTCGAGCCCACCCGGGAGCGTTTCTACCCTCTCGGTTCCATGGTGTAGCGGCAGCACTCAAGATTCTGATTCTTGCAACCCGAGTTCGATTCTCGGTGGGACCTGTTCGGATAATCTCTGTCCCAGTTAGTATAGTGGCTAGTATCCGCCCCTGTCACGGGTGAGACCCGGGTTCAATTCCCGGACTGGGAGCTTGTGCTTCGTCACATGACGAGCATTGGTGGTTTAGTGGTAAAATTAACCGTTGCCATCGGTTAGCCCCGGGTTCGATTCCCGGCCAATGCAAACCAGCTGGCAATCATCCGGGTTTAATCCCCGGCCGATGCTTTTTTTCCCTATACCTTTTCACCCTTGCGAAGACGCGCTAATCTCATGTTCGCCCCTGTCACGGGTGAGACCCGGGTTCAATTCCCGGACTGGGAGCTTGTGCTTCGTCACATGACGAGCATTGGTGGTTTAGTGGTAAAATTAACCGTTGCCATCGGTTAGCCCCGGGTTCGATTCCCGGCCAATGCAAACCAGCTGGCAATCATCCGGGTTTAATCCCCGGCCGATGCTTTTTTTCCCTATACCTTTTCACCCTTGCGAAGACGCGCTAATCTCATGTTCGTTTACTATGCTATGCCCCTGTTACTTTTTTTTTTATCTTGGCGAATACCAGCGACTAAACGTGCAGCGCGGGCTCGCCGAGGTGCACGTCGTATGGTCGGACTCGTCCTGTAAGGCGGGCAAAGAAGCGTTTCCAGCAGGGGCCAGCGCTGTGGATTTCAGCTACTTGCTGCTTGGGTCAGACGCCTTTCGCACTAAATATTGTTGCACTCAAGGAGTTTCCTGCTCCGGAGTCCCGTCTTCCCCCAAAAACATCCGACTCGATCGTACTCTTGTTGTCTTTACCCCGCTGTCGCTGCTCGCTAGAGTCCATCCCCCGAGAAAAGAATGTTCGAGGTGCTCTACAACAAGACGGCTAAACAGGGGCGACTTTTGCAGCAAGGACTACTTCTACAGCTACTCGGTCAGCGACAGCACGCTCAAGTGGCAACGCGCCGTCGACGGCCAGACTCCCACCTTCTGCCCTTCCTCCAAGCTGCTGCCTCCCGGCTTCGACACCGCCGACCTCGCCGTCTACGACTGGCTGGTGCTCATTGCGCGTCCAGGCACCACCTGCGATCTCCGCAACCTGGTCTGCAAGGATGTCACCACCACCGGCATCCGGCGTTCAGGCAAACGCTTCTTTGTGTTCACAAGCACCATCTCGTCCACCTGCGCCTACATGTGGTGCGGCATGACCTCCAACGAGCTTGACCCGTCGCGCGTCAACGGGACCTGCGGCGACTTTTCGTGGGACCAGCGATGGGAATGGTGCACCGCCAACGTGGTCGACAGCTCAAAAGACGACACCAACAAGGATGGGACACCGGATCCGGCCGAGGGATCGTCCGGACGCTCGGGGTCGTCGTCGTCGTCGTCGTCGTCGTTAAGCATCGCGGGTTTGCCGAGCTGGGCGTCTTCGCTGATCGGGCTGGTGGTGCTGGCGGCCATCATTAGGGGAATTGCGGCGTGCATCGCCAAGAAGCGCCGCGAAAACCTTCGGGCGGCGGAAGCACAACAGCAGCAACAGATGCGGTACTCCATGGGCGGGGCTCCTCCTCCGCAACCCATGCCCTCGGTTCTTCCCATGGGTGCTCCTCCGATGGCCGCTCCTCCCATGCAAGCTCCTCCTCCCATGTCTACACCGCCCTTTGGCAGCCCCCCTAGACAGCAAATGCCCACCTTCGCCAACGTCCCACCCCCGTACCGCAAAGGTTCAGCGTCCCGGTTCCTCCTCAAGACCCGCAGTCTCCGACATCCCCGGCATCCCCGCAGCAGCCAACCTACTACTACCAGCCGCAGCAGTACCACCAATACGGTCAGCTGCAGCAAGGGCAGCCTGGCACCAACTCGGCGGCCGGGGGTTGGTTCTTCCTCCGACCCATGAAGACGACCTGCAAGATAGAAGAGCATTAAAATCAGTACATATGACGCGGGGGTCTTTCCCGTAGTTTTCCTTTTCCTCCAGAATCAAGAAACGACCGGCAAAGTCGCCAAGGTCGTCCCCCCCAATTTGCCAAATGCATCCGCAGTCCCATCCTCAACCACCATAAAACCCGCCCGTTCCCCTACTGAAAGAGTCCACACACCCCGCTCTCAAACCTTCGACACGCCCCCGCAACGGGTCGTGTCCGCTCCAGAGCGGGTTACCAAACTTACCTGGGGCTAGCAATTGCCCGTAATTTTTGGTCGGGGTTGGGACGCTGTTGCGAGGCAATCAGGAGTCCTCGTGGTGGCGTTGCTTCCCTCTTTTTCTTCTTGATGCAGAAAAACGCGAAAGGTGGTGGTGGTGTAAGGATGACGTGTTGCGGGCTGTTGGAGGAGGATACTGACCGGGGTGGTTTTGAAATCCCAGCGTAGTGAACGCGACTTGGATGATGGCTTGGGCTAGAAAGAGTCGCGAACGACACCGTGTTGGTGCGAAATTGTGGGCGACACTGGCCATCCCGTTAGGTCGTTGGGAGTGAGGTGGCACTTTGACGCATACCAGTGAGACCTGGGTCGCCCACGACAGCGACAGGATACATTCCAAAACGGTTGAAACGGCGAGAACGAGTGGACTTGTTGTGCGGACGGTGGCGGGTTGCTTGCAGCTGGAGGAGAGACCAGTGTGCTGATGTCAGCATCTGCAAACCTGTGAGAGGGAAAGAGACTCCATGATCAGAATGGAAGTGGAACGAAGATAAGATCAACCTCGTCATTCAAAACGTGCCGTGACCGTCGCATCCTCGACGGCATTGGGGTGAGCTGTTCCGGTGGCGTCCGTGACTCATCGTTTTGGAGGAAGAATTGCTACGAGTGCGTTGCGCGGTGGATGGAGCGCAGCAGCTATATGCAAGGGATCATGTTGGCGTTGAATCGATCGGCAAAGGTTAGCGCCAGGTTATTCTCGGTCCGCCGTGCATTTCGCCGCTTCGAAGGGTAGGCTGTCGGCGTGTTGGTAGTTGATGGAAAAAATTTTGCGAAAGCAATCGAGGCGCGCATCGCAATGGAATTGTTACGGAGGTCGCAAAAAACAGCGTTCAGTCAACGGATTCCGATCTTCGATTCACGGTCAAACGACAATACGCGAATTAGAAAAGGGAAAAGCTGAGATGATGTCTTATCCAAAACACACATGGCTCAACTCGTAATCGGGGTGAAGGCAACCAGGGAAACGAGACGCATTAGAGACAACCGAGACGTAGAAGAGGGTCAAATTCAGGGTATATGGTACATGAGGAAAATAAAAGCAATTTCAGCCTCCCTTTGGCCGGAAAGAAAAGCGATGGGGTCCCGTGACGCATTCATGAAATCAAGAGTGGAGAATGTGACGTCGAGGCATTCAAGCACAGGTGACAACGTCAACCTGATGCTTGGGGTTGGGGAGGAGGTGGTGGCCGCTCTAAAGCGTAAGAGGTCCTGGCAACGAAAGAAAAAAAAGCGTCGGGTGCCCTGCACGTCCCATTGAAATAAACCAAAGCAAGATCTATGATGCCGGCAAAAAGAAAGAGATGAACTCATAGAAACCGTATAAAATGAAAACCGTCACGAGTAGCGAGTCCCGACTCAAGGCCTATGTCTTGAGCCGTTACCTTCCCTCGCAACCGTCGAGCTCCACCACGACGCCATCCGCCTCAGCAACCCATCAAAGCTTCTCCCTCCCTCTCCGTGGCCCGCTGAGTGAAACGAGCCTACCCGCGACGGCCTCCGAAAGGAACCCGGTGTTGTCGGTGGCTGGTGCGGCGCGTCGTCGGCAAGGGGCTGAGGCTGGTCCGCCACCCCGTCGTCGTCATTCTCGGCGTCGGCCGCCGCACCCGCGTTCTCCTCATCCTCCACCTCCGCAGCTTCGTCCGCATCGACAGGAGCCTCTTCAGCGGCGGGCGCAATCTCCGGTGCCTGCGGAGCCACCGGTGCCGTCGACGTTGACGCAGCGCCCTGACCGGGCGGCACGAAATCGAACCTGCTGTTCTCGGCTCCCGGGATCGGCGCCGAGTTTCTCCTCACAATGTTCCCGCGCGACCGCCTCGCCAGCGACACGATCGGCCTCGAGGGTGTCGGGGAGCTCGGTGATGGGGGCGACGACGGTCCCTGCCGTCCATTCATGCCTCCCACCACCACGCTGGCCCGAAATCGCTTCCCCTTGCGGTCCATGGAGGAGATGGGAGCCGGGGGCGGCGGCGGGGGCGTCAGGTCTGCCACGAACCCTTTGGCTTCGTCGAGGAACCGGACGGCGTCTTCGGGTGGCCGGGTGATGCGGTAGGCGCCGCCGCGGGGGCCGCCTTCGAGCTGCGTGGTGCGCATGCGTTGGTCCCACTCGTCGTTTTCGGTGATCTCGTCTTTGAGGTGCCGGATCCAGGTTTGGAGGTCCGCATGGGTTGGCCGTGGGGTGGCTGTCGACAGCCCCAGGTCGCCTTCTTCGGGCTCGTTGGACCCGTCGGACGGACGGCGGGTCCACTCGGTGGGCTCGGGGAGGGTTGCGGCGGCGGAGGCGAGGAGAGGGGAGGAGGGAGGGGTGGCGAGGTAGGAGGTGCCGGAGGTGGCGGTGGCGGCGGCGGCGGATGGGGCGGGTGTTTTGGTGGGAGGGGTACGGACCAGGTCGCGGTAGTTGGTGGTGACTTGGGTGCGCATCACCTGGAGGAGGTGGAGGGCGTTGGCGGTCATGTCCCGGTGAAGGACTCGGCAGGCAAGGATTTTCACGTGACGAGGACGGAATTGGACGCCGGCTTCGAGGAAAACGTCGTGGAGGGAGTGGAGATCGCGGTCTGCAGCGGCTCTGCTGATGGCGTCTGTGATGGATACAAGCTAATTAGCAAAGTTTCCATTATGGCAAGGAAAGGGGTAAAACTTACCATCAAACGAGGCCATGGTGAAGCGATGCGTTGGCCCAAAGTTCCTCAAAATCCATCTCCAGGCCGGGCAAGGGTTCGCCTTCATGTAGCACCGAGTCGCC